ATATTTAAGTGCATATTAAACTTAATATTTTATTAAAACTAAAATAATTAAACCCAAGATTAAAGCTCCAAATCCTAATATCATCAAACACTAAAAAGATTAATTACTTAAAAAATATAATAAACGATTAGCACTTTAGAATTTTCCTTCATTTATATTTTTCCTTTTCTAGTCCTACCATTTATTTTCATCTAAATCTTTCAAGGCTTGATAAGCATTAACTATCACCGACTTCGTGAGATATTGCACATATAAACACAATGAGTTTCCATGGGTATCTTACTCGCCCTAACCTATTTAAAGTGGGTTTGAGTATAGTTAAATTGCGGGTGTTAAAATTTTAAACAAGTGTAGGTATGACTATTGCAAAAGAAATTTTAAACGGATTTGGTTGGGTATGAGTATCGAAATTTTTAAGCGGGTTTGGATGTAAATAGTACAAATTTTACAGGTATCTGCCTCACTTTTATCCTCATAGTAAATATTAGACATCTTTTAATTTTTAAATTGGCATTCATACTTTGCATATCATGCATAAATTGCACTTTCTCAAGAGAATTAATTTTTTATCATAGATCATAAGTTATATATCAAATTCATGCATACACATCATGCATCATCCCATAAATATCACAGCTAATTCAAAATGTAGGAAATACAAAAGGAAAAAAAAAAAGAAATCATAATCAACATCATTTACAATGGGGCTTCCATCCCGGAGATAAGGCCGCCTCCTTAGCATCCTACTTTGCTGTTGTTCATGGATAGTCAGGTTACTCAGAGAAATGCTCAACATGACAATCCTCCTCTAAATCATGCCTTAAGTGTGGTAAGCCCAACCAGCTGGAAACTACAACAACAAACAAAAATCAAAATTATCCGGATAGGACCTCATAAAGGAATGAGAATTGTTGAGAGTTTCCATATTGCCATTTGTATACCTCTAAGTGCAAAATGATTCCTGCAATGTGAATATTTGTATAGACTTTTCGATTCACAATCATTGCTTGTGTTAAATCATTTTTGACACTCCTAATGTGAACATCTGTGAACATATGATTTTACACTCTTTAGTACCAATTTGACATATAATAATCATTCTAAAATAATTTGGCAAATAACCATTCGAATCGAATATGAACAGGGAACAAAATCTTAGCAAATCAAAGAACTCAAAGATGACCTCTCTGTTTTTTATCATAACTCAAGCTACATGAATATTTTTGGGTATTCAAGTTGTATTAAAAACTAAACATCTAGAGCTGTCCAATGGCATATGACATGTCAAAATTTGACTTAAAATTGGCCAGAATTGGTAAAATTTGTGCACGAGATAGAAGCTAGAATCAAGCTGTATGAACATGACACACCAAATCCAAAAATTTTTGTTTTATGTCACATTAAAAATATATAAGATCTTACCTTATAACCTTCTCCTATATAAAGGTAGTCGCTTTCACTTAATCGCACTTTAGAGGCCTTGATTGAGTTGTTACAAGGTCTTTTAACTCTCTTCTCTCTATTCCACCTTCTTATGTAAAAATTTTCTCGAACTTACTTTCCCCCCTAATCTCAATAATTTAATCTTTTAGAAGTTAAAGCTCTTTTCAAGCTTCTTTCCCCCAAGTCAAAACTTTTTCCCTCATAGGTTTAGTACCTTGATATGCTAAAACTTGGTTCAACTCACGACTTAGATTTAGAGTCTCTTTGGTTATCCAACCCTCAAGACCACAAATTTGGCATGCTCTTTGAATTCAAATTTCCCAAGCTGAAGCTACACAAAAAAAGATACGTTATTGCCTTCTCTATCAAGGAAGAAGTAAAGCTAAACTGTACCACCACTCACCAAAACGCCAAGGTATGGATATCATGAACTTATCAATTCAATTTCATTTCCATCTTCTTCTTATTTCTTCTAAAACATCATAACAAAAACATAAATAAGTTCAATCAATCTTTTCTCCTTCTTAAACTTATCATTTGGTAAATCAAACTTGATAACACAAGATTGAAATCAACCCCCAATTTCATAATGGGTAGAATAATATGGTTCTGATTTCCATTCGAAGGGATATGCAGGCAGGCTCACTTCAAGTTCTGAACCAAATCAACAAGAACAAAATTTCCCCTCTTTTCTTCTTTATTTTATTGCTTTATTATTTTGGGAGATTTGTGATCATTCTGGAATCCTTAAAAGGATTAGAGATGATACTTTCTAATTACTTTCAAGTAATTTCTTTTCTTTTCTTTTAATTTTCTTTTCACCTTTAATTTAATTATTACTTGAATGGTATAATTGTCATGCATATTATAATTGTTCATCAAATCTATTTTAGGCCAAATCAGAAACTATTTCAAACTGAAAACCTAGTCCTTGAATTCTCATTGGTTTCTTGAATTAGTGCATTTCCAATTGGAATAATATTAGAGTCATATGGTTTTTCCTTAAATTTTGCTTTCAAATCAAAACCTAAGTGGCGATTCCTTAAAAGCAACAATCAAATATTAAACATGCTTATTCCATGATTGATGGTCCAATTCAAAATGAACATTTTTGAACCCTTAGTGGATCAGATCTACTTGCTCGGGTTGGGGCCACAAGTATCTAATTAGAGATTCAATAGAGTGATCACATTCTTTTTTTTTTTTTTTTTTTTTTTTTTAAACATGGCTTATTTGTCCATGATTGATGTTCCAGATAGAAAGTTCAAAAGATGGAACATTTGAACCCTTAGTGGATTCAGAAGTCTACTTGCTCGGGTGGCCGCCACAAAGATAGTGCTAATTTAGAGATTCAATAGAGTTGATCACATTCTTTTTTTTTTTTTTTTTTTTTTTTTTGTCTGAAGAATACCTCGTATAGCCAATGCCAGAGGCATCAATTTCTATTTATAAGAAAATAATTGAAGATTTGAAATTAAACCATTTAAAGGAGACTTATTGACTGTTGTAGAATTTTTTATTGTTTTTTAATTATTTTTATGCTCACTGTTTTTTTTTTATTACTAGGCTGAGAATTAGTTTTTTTTTAATCTAATTATAATAATGGTTGATACAAGAACAATATTTTTTTTTTTTTTTTTTTTTTTTTGTCTAAGAATACCTCTATAGCCAATGCCAGAGGCATCAATTTCTATTATAAGAAAATAATTGAGATTTGAAATTAAAATTTAAGGAAGACTTTTGACTTTAGATTTTATGGTTTTAATTATTTATGTATGTTTTTTTTTATCTAGGGAGAATAGTTTTTTTTAATCTATTAAATAATGGTTGATACAAGATACAAATATCTTTTATAAAATTGGCAACATAGTTTAAATATTTTTAAAATCTTTGTAATTAATTTCTATCAGTAATTTCATTAGGAAATTTTTTTAGTAATTGATATATTAATTGGTTTAATAGTTCGTTGAAAAATATCATGTCCAAAAAATCTAATTATAATTTGAAATAATTTTATTTTTTGAGAAGAAAAAACTAAACAACGTTGCTTAATTAGAATATAAACTTTTAAATTAAGAAAAATGTTAATTAATATTATTGGAGAAAATGAGCAAATCATCGATGTAAACAATCGAAAATTAACAATGCTCATTTAAAATGTCATTGATAATATTTTGAAGTTTGGATGGAGCATTTTTGAAATTGAATAACATAACATTCCATTCATAATGTCCAAAAGAAATATCAAACCAATTTTAAATCTGTCAGACTCATATATTTCTACGTGTTAAAATCTTGATTTTATATTAAATTTAGTAAATATTTTGCATTATATAACCCTTCAATAAAACTATTTTATTTTGGTATGGGATACATAATCCATTTTAATACTTTATTTCAATATTTATAATTAATAACTAATCTAGATACTTCTCTTTTTATTTCTCAACATTTTGAATACAGAAAGTAAATCAGCTTAAAGGATATTTAGATTTTCAAATCAATCCTTTATTTTATAAATCATTTATTTCTTTTGTAAAAATATTTTTATAATTATTTACCAATTATATAACTCTAGATTTAGTTGAAATATTTTTTCTTATCAAAATCTTTTATATAAGATAAGTTAGACTATATGTTGTTTTCTATACCAAAAAACATTTGTAATATTAGAATAAACTTCTTTATTTAAAAGTTATTTTTAATTATTTTTTGTACATAGATTCATTGTAATTTATTTTATATTCTAATATTATTAATTCCTTATCTTAAATTGCTAATATACTTTTATTTTTATCGAATAAGATTTATTTCTCTACATGCATGATGTTTTGTATAATACTTTTAGATCCTTTGTTTAATTGGCTCAATAAAATGAAAACAGATTTAGTTATTTAAAATATTGTCTTAAAATAAAAACTAAGGTTACATATTTTTGCTTTAATTAATTTATATTATACTTTTAATTTATTACCATTAAGTGTATGTAATCTTTCTTTTGTTTCTTCATAATATATATTCGAAATTAATAATTCTTGTAGACAATTTTAATATACAATAAAAGTCCACTGAAAGCTTACTTTAAATATTACATTACATTATAAAATAAATTTTCAATATTAAATTGTTAATATTAATATTATATTGTTATAAAAATATTGTTATAAAATTTATAATTATACACATAGTCATATAATATATAGATTGTAATGATAGATAATATTATTTTCTAAATTACTAATTTTATTTTGTAACTATAATTTATTATTTTTATATTTTTTTTCACATTTAATAATATATTTTTAAATAATAAAAGTTGAAGATATAAAAGGTTCCTCATATTTTCTCTTAGTTAACTATAAGAAAAAATTTCTCATATTTTATCATTTCCTTCAGTAAAATAATATTTTTAAAAAATAACAAAAAAGCGAGTTATTTAAAATAATTGAATTGAAAAATATTTTTCAAAAATAATTTGTTTTTCAGAAACATAAAGAATGTGTGCAATTTTGTACTTTTCTAAAATATTTTTAAATTGGTATTTTATTTCGGAGGAGGGATCCGACATTTTTAAACCTCTTCTATGCTGTGATAGGGTTTAAGCTTTCAGCTTCAGAACCAGTAAAGAAAGAGAAACATGGCGCGCAGGTCGACGTTGGCCGGGATGGAAGTCCCTATAACCGGCAGCGATTCCATCAAGTGGGTTGAACTCTCCGTCGCCGATAGTGAGACAGTCACCGTGTCCGCAACTCCTCCGCCTGTGGCCCCTCTCACTGAAGATTGTGCCTCCTGCTCCGTGATCGGAGATCCCCCTCTCTATGTTATTTGGTACTTAGGTTTTCTTTTCTCTTCGTCTCCATTTGAAAAACTAGTGGAAGCAATGAAATCAAAACTTCAACTAATCAATATGTACTACCTCTTTTAATTGCAACAGGAGGATTAACAAGAATCGGCCTAGAGCTCTTGAGTTACTTGAGCTCTCTGCTAATAAAGAATTTCCCAAAATTGGACTTCGAATCACCCTCCCTGATTCTCTTTGTCCTTTCGCTTATATCTGCAAAAACGAGGTTTGCCCATGTATTCTGTGTTTTACTTTAGGAATTTGAAAATTGAGTATTTATTTTACATAGATAGAAATGCAAATTAGTTTCTTTTATATGCATTATTCTGTGTTTTGTTTAGGGATTTTGAACACTGAATTATTTATTTTCATATAAATGGGAATGCAGATTGGTCGTCCTGCAACACCCTACTTGCTCTATTTATTGACTGTCTCTGGAGTTGCTTACGTTTTCAAGCTCAGAAATGTTTCTGGTTACACTTCCTGCTCCACATTTCCACCAAGCGAGGTTATAGAGTTTAATTTGCGGAGTTATTTTGATAATGTAACAATAACTAGTGTAGCAGCTACTGCTGGATGCCTTGTGGTTGGTAGAAATGATGGATCTGTTGCTTGCTTCCAACTTGGCTCAGCTGATCAAACTGCTCCTGGTACGTTGCTAGTCATGTTACTGTTTTCATGGTCCTTTTTAGGGGGGTTTCTTATTCTCTCTTTTATATTCTTCTTTTCTCTAGTCAATAAATATTCTTTCTTAATAAAATTTCTTTCTTATTGAGAAATATACTTCAGTTGCTGTTTTTTAGCTCTTTGAATGTCAAAATATAAACCTCTACCATGTTTTGCTCCTCCCTATGTCCAAGGAATTCCTTTTGGTGTTGTATTTTGGTTCAGTTGGCGATAACTCTCTCTCTCTCTCTCTCTCCGTCTTGGCTCATAGGTTTTGCGTATGAGCTGCGGGATGATTTGGGCATGAGTCGTTTGTGGGGTTTTATGTCAAGGTACGCATTATTGTTTACTAAACTGTTCAGTTATATAAGAAGCTTTTACTGCATAATATTATGCTCTTTATTTTATATTGCCAAGAAAAATGCAAAGAGAGTTCATAAAATATTATGTTCTTTTTAGACTTCGTTAATTGCTTAAGTGTCAAAAGATTGTATAATATTTGTAATATGTGGATGTGTAAAACCAAATAGTACTTACTTTTTTCAGAGTTAAAATTGAAGTGATTGTCTGCCTGGTGGCTAATTGCTTTTAGTGGTGAGTGGAGGCACATTTTTTGGGCCATCTTTTTGGATTTTCACAATATAGTTCAGATTCTTCATTATTAGGCAACATGTGGCCCTAAAATAGCATTGAGGATAACCTTTTGATGAGTTCTGAACTAGCTAATATCTGCTGTAATTTTTAATTTATATATATCAGAAGCAAATCTATAAACACTTGAATATTATCATCGGGACTGTTATGTAATTGATATTATTAAATCTTAGTTGTCGTGATTAATTTTCTTGTCTATTTCAATGTGATTGAAATATGTTTTTCTGAAACATGCCATGCAGGGGTAAGGTGTTGGGAGCTGTAGAGAATTTGGTAATACAGGAGCTGCATGGCCTTAAACTTTTATTTGTGCTTCATTCTGATGGGATACTGCGAATATGGGATCTGTCAAATCGTGTCAAGATCTTAAATCACACCATGAGCATTCCAAATTCAGAAGGTAATATTATCACTTTTACTTTTTGCAGCTTCAAACATTGTAATTATTTTAATTTAAAAAAAAAAAAAATCATGAAGTGTCACAATAACTTTTGAATGAAAAGGCCTTTGTTACCTTAGTATTAAGCACCTATTGATAGGTTTTTGAAGGAATTCGTGAGATCATTTGAGAATCTAAGATCTTGTTTTTAGAGAAAACATATTGGAGAATGTTGTTTGATTAGTGGTTCCTAATGCCTAATTTGCTGGATGAAGATTGTAATAAAATAGAGATAAATCTAAGATCCTTCATCTAAGAATTTTCTTAAAGTTCTTCTCTGTGACATGAATTTGTGACTCACATCACTTTAAGCTGTTCCCTAATAAGCAAGCATAAAGATATGAATATTTGAAGTCTTACTAGAATGCCTGTTTTTTATGAAAAGCTTGTGATTAGTTTTTGGTAGATTGTTGTGTTTACGGGCAGACTCGGAAGTAGTTGCACGAGTTCCCTGTAAAAGGACTTGGAAAGCAATTAAAAAAAAAGGTTCAATTATCAAGGACGGGCTAATCTGCTTTAAATTGTCTTATGGCTTGCAGTTAGCTATCATGGTGCTACAAGCTGAATTAGCATATCTGGTTATTCATTTCTTTTTTTGGTATTGGGAGAGGGAGGTGGTGGGGGGTTTTGTTTCTCTTAGCTGAATGGCAGGTAGTTGAAAATTATTGTTTAAATTTTTGGCTTGGTGCATATTGCTTTTTGCTTTGGGCTGTCTGGACCTTTTTCTTGTTTTTAGTTTTCTTAGATCTTAAATAATTTTCTCCTTGATGTTTTATTCCAAACTTTTTTCTGCATGCTTATCCAAAAATGGAGCAGAAAAATCCTGAAAAGATGCTACTTGCTTAACATCATCTGATGGAGGGTATCCTTGATTTATACTATTCTCTATGCAAGTTTGTTTGATTGTGAATTTTTAGATTTTACGTATTTGTTAAATCTCAGAAGGTTGCATTTGTTTTATTTTACCTTCTATATTTTTCTTTCAGGTGCAAAATTTGTGAGGTTGTGGGTGGGTGAAGTTATTGAAAATTCAACCTTAATTCCCCTGGCCATCTTGTATAGATATAATGAGGTATTTCTTTCTGCACTCAGTGATGATCCTTATTGTTTTCCAAACACAAAGTAGTTATGGCTTTTATTTAGCTTTATTAGCTGTTCAGTTGCTTCGTAAATATATGCTGAATCATAATTTGTGATTTTTGCCCTTTTTTGGGCGGAGGGTGGTGGTGGTTGTGGGATTCTAGATGATCTATCATCAAGTTGAAAATTTACACATGCCTTTTGTTGAAGTTGATTTCTGAAGGACCTAGTGTATTCATATCTAGTTGGGTCTTTTTTAGGTGCAGCTTAGGAATTTTACTACTTTGTTAAATCTCTAAAATCTTATGCATATGACCTGTGCATTAGGCATTTATTGGTGCAGAAGTATTACTTCTGAGGGAGGCGTCAGATCAAACTCATTCATCTTGGTCATATCCAAATCAATCTTGTTAAATAAATTGATTTATTGCTGTATGACCTAGTTCTTAGTGAATTAATAAATTGAGCCATTTCAAATTCAGTAACTTTTGATAAACATATAGTAGCAAATATCCTCTTCTAAAAAAAAGAGGAAAGAAAAGAAAAAAAAAGAAGCAGATTGATGAAGAATGGTTCCGCATCAAGTTGGATATCAGCTAAAGAAACCCTTCTAAAGTTTCCTAAGACTCTACTCATAGATAAGCTGAATTAAAAAAAAAAAAAAAAAAGTTATGTGTAAATAATAGGAAGCAAGTATTTGGTTCTTTTTCTTTAAACCTATGACTTTTATCTCATCCAAATTCCCATACTTCCAAAAACAGCAGAATGAATGATCTTTATGCTCTTCAAAATATTATATATCTCCTAAAATTGTTCTTAAAACTCCTTTGCTAGCTAGGCAAATCCAACTATCCTTGAAAATATCAGAACTGATTCTAAAGAGGGCAAGCAGAGAAGTGTAGGGAGAGGTATGTTTTGTACTTATTTTACTGAAGCTCATAAGATGGTTAAGGGCTCATCCTAGTTTTTCTCCTTTGGGATAGATGTTAATTCAATGGTGAATTGATGATCAGATAAAAACCCTTACTCTTGATGACACCTTAGCGTTCAAAACATGATCAGATAAAAGAACTTGAAATGAGTATAAAAGGATTTACAAGAGAAACAATGAATGTTCTCTACTAGAGAACATTCATTGTTTTTGTAAAAGCGAATGATCTTCTAGGAAGCTAAGTCTCTGCTGATAATGAAAAAATGTGAAAAATGAGTGCATTATGCTAGAAATTATGTGGAGGTGAGAGCAGAAAAATGGGTGCATTATGCTAGAAATAATGTGGAGATGAGAGCAGAAAGTACAGAACATATTTTCTTCTCAAATGTTCCCACAGAAATGTATATGAACACGTTATATGGAAAACAAAAGAGGTAACTGTGGTACCTCATCAATGTTATCTCAAGCCTGGGAACTTTTCTTTCATTGGTAAGAAAATAGTGTTAGCTTTGTTACCATATTTGGCAAAGGATAACTTCATGTATTTTAAGGATCCCTTTTTTTTTTTTTTTGCTACATTTACATAATAGTTTTACCTTGTTAATGTTTAGCAAAAATGAATAACTTAATTCTTTTTGTCTTTCATGAGCAGGGAAACGTATCTTTAATGAAAATTGTTTCAAATATACCTTCAATTAGTGACAGATCCAGAATTATATAACTTTGGGGGAGGGGTTGCAAAAAATTCTAATGAATATTTCACAACATAATTAATATATAATATCTTTGAAATAGATATTATATTAGTTAAAAAAATTACAGATTGTGTTAATTGAATAAAGCATACAAGTATTAAAAAACTAAAAGTGAAAAGAACTTAAAGGTGGGTTTTTACTCCTCATCATAAGGCACACTTTGTCAAAACCCACAATACATCATAATTCAGAAAACATATTTCATGCCTTTTAAGTTTTTCTGGTCATGCATTTAGAGTTTATAGCGATCATTAACTTTTTCTGTTATTCACTTAATTCTAAGAGCAAACAATATTTGACACCTATGACGTATGAACACTTGAATAATATATTCATGTTATTCTCTTAATCCGTATTGAATTGTTTAAACAATAGTGGAAACAGACTTGTAAAATTAAGTGCTAATAAACATAAATTTCAATACTTGTAACTTTTTCAATTTTGTCTAGTTGCAATTGTTTCCAAATGAGAGAATTGGACAAAAAATGGAACTAAAATAATATTTTGTTCATAATTGAAATAGAATATTAATTTTTTTTCCTTTCCATCAACCTCTCTCTCTCTCTCTAAGCTTCACCTCTCTCATGAGTCATGAATTAATCATTATTCTATTTTGTTTCTTGGGTTGAGAGAGAGAGAGAGGAAAAGAAGAGCTTAAAAAGTATTATTTATTTCAATTATGAATAAAATGTAACTTTTTATTTCAATTTTGACTTATTTCTCTCACTTTAGCCCAGTTGCAACAAAATTTGTAAATCTGAGACAAAATTGATGGAATTAAAAGCTTTGGACAAAATTGCAAAAACATGCAAAGTCTTGGATTATTTTAGCGATTGCCTTAAGGTTAGACATATTCAATCTAGAAGAGCGTACTCCAGAAAACTTTCTCAATTCTTACCAAAAGTATTACACAGTATTCAAAAAAAATTTTCAACCTTGGGGTGACCGATACCGCTTTTGATCCCCTTTCCTTCCGTCCTTGCCTACTCTGCACTGGAACCTTTTTCAAGGTAACAAATTGGCAGTAAAAATATTTGGTTGATTGTTTGATCTAGGTTCCTAGAAGATACAGGAGTGTGGCTGTAAAACATGTGATTTGATCGATTAAATATGATATTTGGTTGCATATTTTGTCGTGTTACTGATTTATGTATTGGCCCACTATGAAGGAAGTTAGCATGGAGATGGTCTGCGTTTATGGGCTTCATTGTAGTTTTGGGGACAGGATCACTTTGTTAGTAGAGACTTCAATGCAAAATATTCCGCTGGAGGAGGTTGGTGATTGGAGTCCTGATATTTTTTGTGCTTTATTTTTATTCAAGATAAACTCTGATCTCATTCTTTGCTACTGATTTAATTTTCAGGGGGAATGTGTTGATATCAAGCTTCATTCAGATAAAATATGGATATTGAAAGACACTGGATTAATTTTTCATACTTTTTCTCATAATACAGATAACTATGCGTAAGTATTTGCTTTTAGGTTGTATCTTTGAAGTGTATTCTCTTCCCAAATTTTGCTGCGATGATGACTATGTGCACATTATTTTTCAATTGTCCTGGGAACTTTATTCTTCAGATTCCCTGGTTCTGTTTTCTTCACTTCTTTTTTCCATCTGAAATTTTTTGTCTCCTATTTTCAATAATATTTGTCATCTAAAGCACTTTACTGTAGGCATTTATGATTCTATAACTTGAATTTCTTATCCCATAAGTTGCAATGTTCTATTCTCACATATCTCTGTGTGTGTGTCAGGATTTTAAGAAGCGGCTGCAAAATTATGTATTGGAATTAAAGCACTTAAATACATTACTTTCTGTTACATTGGGGTTGTCAAATTCATGCTGAAACACTGTCATATTCGGTGTTATGTCTGTTGTCAACTGTGATGTGAGAAGAGTAACAGGAAGTCAAGGAGAACAAGCAAAAGGAAGAGAGGGGAAGAGTGTGGGGGAGTTTGGGGTTTACCTAGACAGGGGGAATATTTGGATTTCTGGATCTTTTTCCAGTCTACTGTTAATAGAAACTATTGATGGAGAGAGTTATTATTTTTTTAATTTCATTTTGAAGCCTTTGTTTATAAAATGGGGAACCCTAATTTATAGTGGGCTTTTATTGAGGCTTTTGTTTGGACTTTCACTTTTATACCTCTGCATCTTTAAGTAATGGGTTTACCCTAATTTACAAATCATTTCTTTTATTTTTTTTCCCTGCCACTAATTTTTATATCTATAAGATCATTATGCCCTGTCATTAGATTTTTGGTTTATGTTGATTCATGTCATTTTGCAGATTTGTGAAAAAACAATTGGGTGGTGTATTCAGTCCCATTTTGTCTTATTGTGCGACAATTAAAACTCGTTTTTCTCTTTATATATGTATGTATGAGTACATTCGTACATAATATATGAGCTTAATTGTTTTGGCTTGTCAGGGAAGAGGCCCACTGCTATGCTTTGCAGGAAGAATTTGTTGCTGAACAACTATTTCAAACTTCTGAACATTCTTCCAATGATCTTATTTTGATTATCCATTCTATATTCTCATATACAAAGGTGAGCAACTATTTCAAACTTCTGAACATTCTTCCGATTATCTTATTTTGATTATCCATTCTGTATTCTCATATACAAAGGTGATACTACCATTTCTTTTTTCTGATTTAAAATTGAACTGTTGTGATAGCATCGTGTGTTGGAACTTTTATCTTCTTGGAGTAGGACAGCTTGGATGACTGGCTATTAAGGCTGGCTTTTAGGGTAGAACGGGTAGAAAATTAGGCAGGCAGTTAGGGTTTATAAAAGGTGGAATTGCAAGTCAGGTTATTTGGGTTAGATTTTAGGTTTTTTAGAGATCTAAAATGGGAAATATTTAGAAGGACAATTAGAGCTTGTATGGGAATATGTTAAACAAGCGAAATCAAACAAGAAAGAGGTTGTGGAATTGTTACAGTACTCTGAATTCTGAACAATCTCATGAATAGTAAAATAGAAGAACAAGTGTTTAGGCTTCATACATAAATGTCACCAAACATCACAACCAAGGTCCCATAGGCATCACAACTATGGTGAATTGCATTACACAACTCAGAATAGTATAATTGCTTGTTTTTATTAAATAATAAAACTGAATTAAAAGCATTACCTTCCTTTGTATTTGTAAACTTAAACAACTCCTAAACCTTTAAGAAAAGCACTTAATAGCTATCCACATGCTCTTTTGATTCCCAAAATAAACTAAATGGAATGATAATATTCCAACCTAGCAAGGACTTAAAAAATAAGACTTAAAATAATTATAAGAGACTCCTAAAGAAATCGGGACAAATTTTCTAGCAAAGAAAGAACTTACAGAATTGCCATTGATACTTAATTACTGGACCAATAGTTTATTTATTGCAATTTGTATAATAAGAACTAGAAGACTAGGACTTAATCTATAATTCCCTAATAAATGTTATATTAAATCTGGGCCACAATGTAACCCTTGGCTCCAACCAGTGTTGTCACTAGGCGCTAAGGTGAGCGATGCGAGGGGAGGTGTAGGCGCCTATACCTTCGGGCACTGCCGGGCGCCAAGGCACTGCAAGGCGTAGGCAAGCGCGTCAAATAGAAATTGCTATTTCCCATATAGATATGAAAATCTTAGAACATTCAAGATAAATATAAATATGGGGAAAAAAACCTAAAAGCGGCTAGAATATAGAAAGTTTGACAGCCATTTAATAATTAGGTCAATATTTATACAAATATGGGAAAAAGAAAAGAAAGTGGCTGAAAATTGGAAACTTTGACAGCATTAAATAAGGAGGTCAAAATCTAATCTAACCATTAAAAATAAGTATCACAAATATGGAAAAAAAAGAAAAGAAAGTGGCTAGCTTGACAGCCAATCAAAGAATTAGTTGAATAAAATCTAAAATAAAGAAAAGAAAAGCATGTAGGATTTTTGCCACATGAAAAGACACAACAGAACTGTAGGTAAAGTGGAAAATCCTCGGCATGATGAAGAAAATTCTTATGAACTAAGATTTTAAGTTTACATGACAGTTTTGATTCTTCAACATTTCATCTAGAATTCTAAATTATTAGTGTTCTTTTTGAAATTAATCTTTGGGTGCATAAATCTAATTCTAAATGCATGTTATAGTTTTGGACTTTTGATTTCTTTAGTAATATATCTAGAATTTTAAATTGTCTAATTCTAAATTTTAAGTTATCTTTAATTTTTTAATCCTCACATCACCCGGTTGAGCTCCTTGAGTGGTGCCTAGCACCTCGGGCAATGGAGGATCTTGTTGCCTCAAGCGCGCCTAGCACTTTTGATGACACTGGCTCCAACCATTAGAGGAATTGTCTGCTTTGGTCATAAGCCTCATGGTTTTGTCTCGCAGGTGGAATAACAAACTTCTCAGGAGGTCACCCATCCTAGGATTTCTCTTGAGCGAGCAAGCTTAACTCCGGAGTTCTTTCAACTCTCTAGGTCATTTCATGAAAATGCGCATTTAGTGATAAGTTTTCCTGTTTTCAATGTGAGATTCAATTCATTCCTGAGCCCTGCATTCTACTATTATAAGTAGCCTCGCCATCCTAGAAGCCTGCCAGAAGCCGTTTAGGCCCTTAACTCGGCGCCACTCACCACCCTCATCGGACTGCTTTCTCGGGTCGGGCTGTCACAGGCCCACCAACTTCTTCTTGGTTCATCTTCGAACCATACATCTATTGGAGGGGGTCAGGCTCTGATACCATCTATAACGTCCTAGCTCCAACCACTAGAGGAATTGTCAGCTTTGTCTATAAGCCTCACGGTTTTGTCTCGCAGGTGGAATAAAGAACCTTCCAGGAGATTACCCATTTTAGGATTTCTCAAAAGTGAGCATGCTTAACCTGGGGTTCTTCCAGCTCTTTGGGCTATTCGACCAAAAGGCGCCTCTAGTGATTAGTTTCCCTGTTGTCAATGTGAGATTCAATTTATTCTTGTGCCTCTTATTCCACTACTCTATGTAGCCTCGCCATCCTAGAAACTTGCCAAGAGCCACTCAGGCATTTTATCCGGTGCCACTCCCTACCCTCGTCGGACCGCTTTCCTTGGTCCGTTGTTACATGCAATTAGCTTCTTGTATCTTTGTATTTGAATTTTTTTTGAATTCCTGTTCTGCATCATACTTGACATAGATGCCATGATGCACCATGTTCAAACCTTGAAAGTTGAAATTGACAGTATTACCTATCGAAAAGAACAAAAAGGAGTTGTAGCGAGTAGGATTCTCTCTTTCAGAGATCCTGAAAATTAGAATCTCTTTCAGGATTTTATATAAAAAAATAATAAAAGCTTCTTTTTTTTTTTTTTTTTTTTTTTTTTTTTTTCAACCACTAGAGGAATTGTGCCAGCTTTGTCTATAAGCCTCACGGTTTTGTCTCGCAGGTGGGATATAAAGAACCCTTCCAGGAGATTACCCATTTTAAGAGGATATTCTTCAAAAGTGCGCATGCTTAACCTGGGTTCTTTCCAGCTCTTGGGCCCTTATTCGTTCTCCAAACAGGCGCCTCTAAGTGATTTAGTTCCGCTGTTGTCAATGTGAGATTTCAATTTATTCTTGTGCCTCTTATTCCACTACTCTATGTGAGCCTCAAAGCCATCGGCTACCGACCACTTGCCAAGAGCCACTCGGCATTTTATCCGGTGCCGACTATGTCCGCTATTACCGCTCGTCGGACCGCGTTTTCCCTTGGTCCCGTTGTTTAACACTGGCAGATTAGCTTTCTTTGTTAGACTTATGTAATTATGAATTTTTTTTGAAATTCCTGTTCTGCCATCATACTTGCCATAACGGATGCCATGATTGCACCAATGTTCAAACCTTGAAATAAGTTGAAAATTAGACAGTATTACCTACTGAAAAGAACAAAAAGCGAGTTGTAGCTGAGTAGGAATTCTCTCTTTGCAGAGATCCCTGAAAACTTAGAAATCTCTTTCAAGGTTTTATATAGAACAAATAATAAAAGCTTCTTTTTTTTTTTTTTTTTTTTTTTTTTATTTTTTTTTTCCCTTGAGCCGGCCAGTTAAGAATTAGAGCGGAGCGAAGCACCAAAAATACACAAACTGAAGGTATGGAAACTTGAAAAGATTTTTTTATTTCTTCCTTTTTTTTTTTTTTTTAATTTTATTTTTAAAATATAAGTTAATCTTATAAACTTTTTCTCCTCTCTGTCTCTCAACTTTCTTCTTCATTGTCTCTAACATTGCCCATTTAACAAAGCTGCTGAATATAATAGTTGCAGATTACATACGACCAAGAACACACATTATTCCTACTAACAAATAATTATAGACATTTTCTTTATTTAAGAATAACATCTCCTTAGATCTTGCAGACATAATAGCGCACTTCAAATTAACACTTTTCTTCCTTTTTTTTTTTTTTTTAATTTTTATTTTAAATATAAGTTATCTTATAACTTTTCTCCTCTCTGTCTCTCCAACTTTCTCTTCATTGTTCCTCTACATTGCCCATTAACAAAGCTGCTATATATAGTTGCAGATTACATAGACAAGAACAACATTATTACTACCTAACAAAATAATTATAACATTTCTTTATTAAGATAACATTCCTAGACTTGCAGACATATACGCATTCACAATTAACACTAGATTTCATCTCCTTTCTGGAGTTAGAAGTCTCTCTAGAAAAATCTTTCACATTCCAATATACTCCTTGAAATTTTTCTTAGGGATTCCAAACTTTGCTGCCAATTCTTCGGACTTAGACTTTGACTTTGATAATCTGATTTGCCAGGAACAAGCTTCACAAAATAATTCCTCTTAGCTTTGTAGATTTGATATATCTTAACATGAACTTATGTGACTCTTCCCTGGTGGAAAATTCATAAAATTTCTCCTCCTTTGCAAACAACACAATGAACTCTCATACTTCACCTTAAATTGAAACCTGAACATAATCTTTTTTTTATTGATCCATTCATCACTGCATTGGATAGACTTCCAAATCATTCAAGTGCACTTCTTTGGTTGTGTTATCACTTGAATCTCCATATTACTAGGCTTGGCAATTCCAATTTCTAGCTTTAAACATGCTGGTTTTGGCCCTTTCCAAGCTTCAGCCTAAATCATTATAGTCACATTTCAGCCTTCAAACATGGGCACGACTCATTTCCTTTCAAGCCCCTTCAAGAAACTTCAGAATGGGTGTGGCTCCTTCCATATCCAGCCACTCTCAACAAATTCTAACAATTATTCTGGTAGTGTTTGAAGTTTGGACATGCACAAGGTCGTCTCCCGTTTTCAGTTTCTGGGTCCATTTGAATAACCTTCCCTAGCACATAGGGTAAGAAAATTTCTTTGAACATTCACATACCAAACAATAATAGCAGCAAGACACAAACTTGATGAAGCCATTCTTCATCTTGAACCAAAGGCATCAAAATGTAGTGATTTTCACTCAAAAACACTCTTTTTTTCTTCCATCCATAGGCCCTCTATTAGATGCTCTGATACCACTTGTTGGAGTTAGAGAGGAGAGAACAAAATATGGAGAGGGACTAAAGCACAAGTGAGCTATGAAATTAAAACATTCTTTTTCATTTTGAACAGAAGTTTCTTAAAACTCCTTTCCAACTCACTCTCCAACTTTCTCTTGGCTTTTTTCTCTACGTTTTCCATTAACAAAAGCTGGTATATAGTAGCAGCAGATTACATAGACAAGAACAATATTATTACTACCTAACACAACTAAAGCATTTCTTTGTTGAGACAACATTTCTAGACTTAAGGACATACACATATTCACAACTAAAACTAGATCTTATCACCTTGATTTCTGGAATTGAACTACAAAAATCGCTCTAGAAAAATCTCACACATTCCAACACCTTCACTCCATCTAGAGCCTATCTCAATCCTTTGGGCAGCAACCTACTTGATTGGTGTAAATATGAAAGATCTCCCCTGCAAATTACATGTAGAAAATATAATGATCATCCAAATACTTTAGGTAGATAGAATGCTAAAATGCATCATGCAGCTCAAGAAATGGAACTGTTAGGGGTTGTTGAAATTTCTGTTGGTATTTATCTCTGCATTGAAAGTCTTCTGTTTAATTGTTTAGGGTTTTGGACTTGGCCGAATTTTAGATAAGGTTTTGTTCTTACATATTGGTAAGGCTTTATATATGAGATTTAAAGTAAGATTTTCTTTTTAAGTTTTTAATACACCATGTGTAAAGGGTGATAGGCACTTTAATTATTAGTACTTGTATTATTTAAGTAACTTGTTTTAAAAAAAAATGGCATTTTAGCAGGTAGCTATATGTTCCAAATTCCATTACTCTTATTTTTTTGCCTCTTTTTTTCACTTGTGAAAAAAAAAAAATTGCCATTTGAACAGGTAGCTGTATGTTCCAAATTCTATGTACTCTTATTCTTTTGCCTGTTTTTAGGCGAACCACCTTATTGTATTTACTGTTATAGTTTGCCATTATGGTTTATGATTTTAGTTTTTTTTTAGTTTCATTTCCATTCTACATGATTTTGTCTGTTTTCAAATCTTATTCACTATGATGCAATACCTATCTTGTGCCAGTTAGTTGGCTTATTCTTCTTTTGGGTTTGTCACTCCTGTGCAAGGTGCTCATTTGAAAGATATGTGGCTTACATGTTGTATTTGGACTTACAATTTTTACAGGATCATGTTGTGCCATTTCTTTCTTCTATCTTTTTACGTAGGCTGCTTCAACCTGGGGTTCATCATAATGCCGTTCTGCGAGCAACTTTTCTTGATTACAACAAACACTGGACTGACACTGAATTCAATTCCTTAACAGTTGGTGGACTGAAGAAAGAAATTTGTTCACTGATTGAACAGGAGGTTTTCTTATCTTCATTCACAATTTCATTTCTTCTATTTCGTAACTCTATTGGTGTGCATTTGGTGGTGCCATTATTTTTAACCGTTTCCTCTTCCTCTCTTTGGTGAGAGTTGATGAGGAATTGAAGGTTGTAAGCAAGACTGATATTCTGTATGTCTATTGTCAGGGTGTCAATGAAGGTCCGGTATCAGTGTTTTGGTCCTGGAAAAATTTCTGTACACGCTATTTCCAGAATTGGTGCAAGCACAATTCGCCTTGTGGTTTTCTAGTCCAGTCCTGCACAGGTGCTATTGGTTTAGTAAGAAGGAATTCAATAGCTTTATTTCGTGATATGGAAAAATTTGAGGTGCTTATTGATGGTATGTTCAATATTGGTAATATTTGATGTGGACAATATCTTGTACGTTTCATTAGTGTCCCATTTTACTGTTTCTTACATGTATGTTCTCTTATACTAATAGGTTCTGATGAACTAGTTGATACAATCAGCTTCAGATTGGACATGTCTGATGATGATTCTGAGCATCAGATTCTTATGGAGGTTCTCAGATGTATTATCAGTATGAGCCAACAATTGGGGAAAACAGCTTCTGCTATATTTTATGAATCACTTGTTGGCAGATCAACTATTTCATCTGAAGAAATTGTTCCTCGCTTACTGAAGATTCTGGAAACTGGATACAGTTCATCAGTGTCATCTCTTAATGTATCAGGCGATTTTGCTTTGGAGAAGGAACTGATTGATCACAGAAATCTGAGGAAATTCTCGATTGATATGCTATTTTCTCTTCATGCTTTGTCCAAAAAGGCTGATTCTTGGTGCAAAATTTTGAATGTCATTGAAAGCTATCTTCAATTTCTTGTACCTCAGAAGGTCATGCAAAAACAAGATGCTGGAATGCCATTTGATATAAATGTTTCTGTTTTAGTCCAAGCTACTTCTCAAATTGCAAAGTCGATGTTTGATTCTGCATTGGATATTCTCCTATTTGTTAGCTATCTTCTCAACATCAGTGGACAGGTACTTTTTATTTCCTCCTCTTTTTGTGAGTTTTCTAGTGCTTTTGATTTTTGAATGAAATCCTTTCTTTGAAATATGAAATTCAAACATTTTCATGTCCACTAGATCTCTGTTCGTGGTTTGCTGGCTTGTTTCAGACCACCTCTAGCTTTTTTTGAGAAAAGAACTGAAGATTTCTTTTTATCAAATTTTGCCTCACTTTTTGACTTTTTTAATTTTAATCAAATTCCTAGTAATAAACCAAAATCCCTACACAATTAGTTACAAATGTGTTTTTGACAAGCATTTGATGTTAATAGGTTGCATGAACTGAGAACACATTAAAGATAAGAACACATTTCAACCAATTCGCATAAAATATAAATTTGTATCAAATTAGAACTAATAACTAATCCCACCATTGAATTGTTGAAAAAACTCATAAGCAAACAATCTGAAATAGCCTTGCCCATGAGATGTATAATTATAACTATATATAAAAAAAAAATTAAATTCCAACTATAGTAATAAATACTTGCAAAACAGAAGCAAGTGGGTCAATCAAGTGTCCAAACTGTTATCAAGGATAGTCCAAGACTATATATATATTGATAAATAAACTGCTATTTTGACTGGTCAGAAATTAGACTTGGTGAGTTTCACAGTATAAATGTGGGGTGTTTGTAACAAGTACCTGAAAAACTATGATTGTTTTCCCATCAATTTCTTTGCATTTCCAATAATGCAAAATGACATTTTTCTTTCCAAACGATTGATATTTTTTATTTAATAACCATTGGGAAACACTTGTTATTTGAGGAACATAAACTTTAGTGTTTTCTTTTATCCAACATTTCAAAGGTATATATCTCCATCATAGTTATTACCAAAATAGAAGCAAGTGGGTCAATCAAGTGTCCAAACTGTTATCAAGGATAGTCCAAGACCATATATCTTGATAAATAAACTGCTATTTTGACTAGTCAGAAATTATGACTTATGGAGTTTCGCAATATGAATGTGGGGTGTGTGTAACAACTACCTGAAAAAATATGATTGTTTTCCCATCAATTTCTTTGCATTTCTAAAAATACAAAGTTACATTTTTCTCTTGCTGCCAACATGTCCCATGTCTTATATATAAACATGTCCCCATGGTCTTTATATATATATATATATTCTATATATATATATATATATTATATTGCAACCAGCACCATTTTTTATATATTGCACCATTTTTTCATACTTAAGAAGTGAAGGGAATGGTAGGAATTGATTAGCAATGGGCATTCTCCATCTTTGAATTATCATTTCTTTTAAAGTCTTGATGAGTGGGAGACAGATACCTTTCTTTGTTGCTTAATGTCCTTATGCAGTTTGCAGTTCCTTCAGAGCGGTTTTTAATTTTAACAGCTAGCGGGTGTTTTCTTACAGATCCTTTTATACTTGTCTATGCTAGTTTCCTTGCCAACTATCATTGGAGCAACCTGATGATGAATAATAATTAGACAAGCAGTTCTGACTGTTTATGAAAATTTAGCCTGCCTTAGAAAAGTTAGCATTGTTTCCTGATATATGTTGCATGACATGCTAGAAGTGGGTCTTAGACCTAATCTATTTTCATATTGCTTTGATTTTTTGGTCTACTCGGCATTTCTTTTTGGTATTTTTCAGCAGCATGACTTGCAGAATTTAAAGGGACTTGAAATGAAAAGGTGGTATAAAAATTAGGGTTCAGATGTTTTGCAGTAGTTTGATTTATTTGTATTTGGTTGCATAGTTCTATCTCTAGGTTACCAAACTGGATAGTTCTTGTAGTTAAGGATTTATGACGTTCCCATATTCAGTTGGGATTATGAATTTTTGGTTTAAAATACACAAAAAGTTGTTGGATTGTTTATTTATTTGTAGTATCTTTCAATATTCTGAATATTTGTTCCCGTTAGAGGTTACAGGTGTCGAGGTATATTGCTACAAATTTTATAATTCGTGACTCAATTGACATGGTCATTTTGGTATCTTGTATTTTTTTTTTTTTTTATGCTTATTGAGCATGTGTATGCATCAATTAAATTTTGTCAAGATGAATTTTTTTTTTTTTTTTTTTTTTTTTTTTTTTTTTTTTTTTTTTTTTTTTTTTTTTTTTTTTTTTGAATTTTGAGGTTACATTTTTTTTTGCACTTTGCTGTGCAGATTAAATTGGTCGCCTGATGACATATCAGAATACATTGAACTGGTTCCGCAATTGATTCAAGAGATTGTTTTTTGAGTGCTGATTATTCATGTTTCTTTGCACACACCGTCCTGAATCTGCCTGCGATCGCAGAATTTCAGTTTCTCCACTCTGGCATAAATTGGCAAATTGGTGGGTTAGTTTGATGGTATTATAGATGTTTCTATTGCTGTAGGTTTTTTTTTTTTTTTTTTTTTTTTTTTTTGAATTTGAGGTTACAATTTTTTTTGCACTTTGCTGTGCAGATAAATATGTCGCCTGATGACATATCCAGAATACAACTTGAACTGGTTCCAATGATTCAAGAGATTGTTTTTGAGTGGCTGATTATTCATTTTCTTTGCACAACACCGTCTGAATCTCCTGCGATCGAAGATTTCAGTTCTCAACTCTCATTATTGCAAATTGGTGGGTTAGTTTGATGGTATTATAATGTTCTATTGCTAGCCTGGTCTTGTTTGCGGGAGGCAAACACAGACCTCTTACTTTTATTATAAGCTGGTTATTACTTCAATTAAAATTGTAGTTTGTACATATTCTTATGTTTATTTTAAAGTTATCCACCAAATTGTTGTTGCTATTGGTTTTTGCTATAGGAAAGTGAAATGTCACCAATAGCATTGTAATTAAGAGTCTTCTATTAGTTTAATTAGACTGTTCATCTGCCTAACATTCATCAGAGTTCTGGTTGGGAAAGCTGTACTTTATATCCTACAGGAGCTTTGTTTAAAAATATCGGAACCATTTTCTTTTTCTATTTTCTTGCATTCTTCATGTTTCTCCACTATATGGATGTCAGATAAATAGTATGGTCATGACTGAATTCTTGTTTATCTTTTGAAGTTTACCTAACTGATGTTGCGCTAACTACACAGATCCCTTTTTCTGTTTACCAATCAGATGGCAGCACCGATAAAAGATCATGGAATGAGAAACTAGGCAAATGCAATTTTACATTGGCTTTTATACTTTTGCTAAGTATTCAAATTTCTCATGGAGACCCAAATCGCCCTTCAAGATATCTCCCAAATCCGCAAGAAATCCTTTGTTCAGTGCGCGACTTTACAAGCTGGATTATTTGGGGAAAATCTGGGGAAGAATCTAATTCTTTCTTAAAACGTTCAACTGAGCTTGCACTGATCCTTCTTAGGCATAGCCAGTATGATGCTGTTGAGGTTATTTATGTGCATCCTCTTTCCTACCAGGAGTAGTTTTCATTAACATTTTAGAGATAGTAACAGAAATCTTTTCTCCTTTTTTTTCTCTTGTTCTACCTTTCAGTACCTTCTAACTATTATAGAGGCCAATTCACGAAAAGAGAAAATATTTAGAAGTATTCAAGATACTGATGGTGATTGGTGTTTACTTCAACATCTGTTAGGATGTTGCCTCCTTGCCCAGGCACGATATGGGTTCCATGGAATTTTGAAAGAAAAGAAAGTTTGTGAAGCTGTTCGCTGTTTTTTCAGGTACTTAACAAATTTAAACCTTATGTTGGTTGCTTATTGAAGAAGTTCTATATCTTTCATCCAGTGTCTAACACATGGATGTAGTTGCACAAATGCCTGAACTAACTATTTATCCCATTGCACTCTATTTCTTATCATTTGGATTTTTTACTCTTCTGAGAAATAAAAATAAATTAAAAGTTTGGGATTCTGAATTGCATAGAAGCAAAAGTAATGAAATATGGAGTAATGTTGAAAGAATAAATCTGCTTTACCAGCTACCCAAATGTTATGCAGTAACATTCTAGAGTCTGTGGATGTATGGTAAATAATAATTCCTTGCCTTTCTTCTGTGTTCCAAAATACTATGTTTCTTTTCTCGTGTATGTTAGGGAATATTTCTTCATACCATCTGCCAGATTAATTGTTACATTTTGCCTAAGCTCATGTTGTATTGTTGTTGTGATCGTGCTATTCAGGGCTTCATCTGGGCAAGGAGCTTCTCAAGCTTTGCAGGATTTATCTCATGATGCTGGATTGCCATATCTTGGTTTTAGTAAGTATTTGTTGGATCTAAAATCTTAATTCCTCAAGGGAAAGTTGACCAAATGATTTTTTTTGCTTAATCCTTCCTTTTTAATCTTTTCTACAGATGATTGTGCGTCATCAGCTGCATGGAAGCTTCATTACTATCAATGGTCAATGCAGATTTTTGAGCAATATGGCATTAGCGAAGGGGCTTATCAGTTTGCGCTAGCTGCTCTTGAGCAAGTAGATGAAGCTCTTAGTCAGAAAGATGATTCCTGCAGGAGAGATACACTCAATGAATCGGCCACTGCCATCAAAGGACGACTCTGGGCAAATGTCTTCAAGTTTGCTTTAGATCTTAATCACTTGCATGATGCATACTGTGCAATACTTTCTAATCCAGATGAGGACAGCAAGTACATCTGCTTGAGGCGTTTCATAATAGTTCTTCATGAGCGTGGAGGAATGAAGGTTTCTGCCAAACCATCGAGATTCCTCTTATTCTTTGTTGTTTCATCCCACACTAATTTTTTACAATCTGCCTTCAAAAAGTTGCAAAACAAGCATAGCATTGAAAATAGTTTTGAACAATTGTTAGGAACTAACTAATTTTAACTTGGCTCAACCTTTTTCCTAAGAAGGTATCAGGATTGATTCTGTCAAAGTACTTCCTAGTTTGCTAGTTTCAGAAAACCAGAGCTGATAGATTGTATAATTTAGTTACCATTAATTTGGTTGATCAAGTCGTTTTGCATGTCTTGCACTGTATGTTTTATCTTTTAAACTGTCTTGAAGTGTCGAGGTATTGACTATTATACGAACTGTATGTAACTGAAACAGAAAATATCAGTGACCAATTTGTGGTTTTTGGAAATTCTGCTTTAACTAGGACCATGAAAACATTAATTGTATCAATATCTTAATTTATTTGGAAATTCTCGTCTATGTACACTGCAGGTGCTTTGTGGCGGTCAAATACCCTTCATAGGATTAGCAGAAAAGATAGAGCAAGAGCTTGCCTGGAAGGTACGCTGTAAAGGAGAAAACCAACTTTACTACCTGTTGTTTTCTCATAGTATTTTTCGTAGATTAATGTCATGTACTTTTTTTGATTGAAATTTTTAGGCAGAGCGTTCAGATATTTTGACAAAGCCAAACCCATATAAGTTGCTCTATGCATTTGAAATGCATCGGCATAACTGGCGAAGGGCAGCGAGTTACATATACCAATATTCAACCCGTTTGAGAGCAGAAATAGTTATGAAAGATCACCAACACATATCGCTGGTGCTCCAAGAGAGGCTGAATGGGCTTTCTGCTGCTATCAATGCTCTGAGTCTTGTTCATCCTGCATATGCCTGGATTGATCATCTCCTTGAGGGAAATTCTCTTCATAATGAGTGTTATCCCAGTAAAAAAGCCAAAAAGACAGTCAAAGAACAGTGTAAATTTTTCATTCAAAAATTGTTTATTTGTTGATTAGTACTAATCAGTCTCTCTCACCCTCCATTCCCCTGATCTTGAACAAAGTTTTTCTGCGTTGTACTGTTGAGGAAATAATGCATGCATACATGCTACTATATACATATATGATTACCATGCTGATTGAGGCGATGATTCATTTTATTTCTGTTGCAGTAGTTGGCAGTGATGTTGAACCTCAAAGGCTGCAGTTTTATGTTGATACTGAGAAACTTGAAAATGAGTTTGTGCTAACTTCAGCGGAATACTTGCTGTCATTAGCAAATGTCAAATGGAAATCCACTGGTAAAACCTCTTTCCTTTTCTTCTTAGCAGATAAATGTCATCCTCATTATATGCTCTCATAAAGCAACCTTGTGTAAGAGTCATGAATTATCTAATTTCATGATCATGAGCAAACTAATTTTTCTGAAAATTTTTTTTTTACATCTTTTAGGCTTTAGACAGAATGACTGCCTTCTACCAGTCAACAAATTTATAATCAAAAACTGAATTTTGTAAATCTTGACAAATCTCCTTCATGATTTAATTGAACGAGAAGTTTGAGTTTTTACTTCTCCTATTTTAATAGGCCGAATACATAAGTTCTCCTCTGAACTTTGTTACTTTAACTTTATGGCACCCTCAACTTTTACTCATAAAATACTTCAACTTATAAAATTACACCTATTAAATACTTCAATTTTCAAATTTATTTTTTTGACTTGCAAAATTAGATCAATTAAACACTTATTAAAAAGTTAAAATTTATGAAAATTATTGTTCCAAAAGTCATGCTAACGATACATTAAGTCGATATTTTGCAGATAAAAGCCAAAATTCCTAAAAAAAAATTTTGACATTAGTGTTGAAAAGTGCGTAATATTACCAAAATTTACAATTTTAAGTGCATGATAGGTCATCCGTAAAGTTCAGGGTACCACAAGGTTAAAGTTGCAAAGTTCAGGGAGAATTTATGTAGTCAGCCTTTTTTAATATAATTGGTTTCATCTTCATTTGATCAATTTGCAATTTTTATTATTCTTCAGAAACAGACAATGCTCCATCGGATTTGGTTGATCTTTTGGTTCAGACCAATTTATATGATATGGCATTTACAGTTCTTTTGAAATTCTGGAAGGGTTCTGCATTGAAGAAGTATGGTGCTCCTGCTTTAGTTGCAAAATATTGTTTCTCTGTGATGGTGAGTGATTCATTTGGAATGCTTGTGAATGTGACTTGTTCCTTTCTTTTCCTAGGGAATTGGAAAAAATTTTCTCTTCTATGTCATTGAAATGCTGTCCAAATAAAGTGGGTTCATCATCTGCCGGGTAAGACAAGTTTTGTCTGTCTTGTTCTCTTGCATTCTTTTTCTATTCTCTTTCCTCTTTTTGTCCTAAATCACTATAAACTTGGTATTGGGCTGTATGACATCATTATACACCATGTAATTTATGATTTTCAGAAATGATATGAGGTCGCATGGTCTTTTATTGACATCCTCAATGGATGATATGGTTGTTCATGGTTCACCTGATGTGGGTCCTGCATCTCAGCAGTCTAGAGGGAATATGCAATGGGAAACTCTTGAGCTCTATCTTGTTAGTATCTTCTTCACTTTTTCTTTTTTTGCTGTCTTTAGTTTTCAATAGATTGCCTTTTCTCTTCATTCGACATTGAAGTAAACAGAAAAGAAGGAAAGTGCCTTGACGACATTTGGTGTTCCTTAAGTATTGGGATTTCTGGCATATGTGCTTTGTTTTTTCTTCCTCCTTTGCTAGCTTCTTGTGGACTTGTAACATTGATAGCTTTGGCTACTAGAGGCTGTATTTATAGTTTTCCTCTTCATTACTTCGTTTACTCCCTATTTTGTCTTATATGCTTGTTTTTCCTTAGCCTCTCTCCCACCCCCCACCCCCCTCTTTTTTTTCCCAATTAAATGTGGTTCAAGTTGGGAGTGAGGCAGTGCAGGGATTTTATCCCCAGCCAAGAATGTAGAAAGCAAATTGCAACTAGATTTTTGATAATTCTTATTGTGGTATTCATGTACTGAAGGCATCTATTACAGATCACAGCTTTTATGATCCTTATGTGTCCAAAATAACATGTATCTGCATTCTAGCTTCCCACTCTGTTATCGTCTTCTACTTTTATTATTATTTTTTTCTTTTTCTAATCATTAGTTGACTTAATCAGACAAGTTAAAAAAACACTAGATTTGGATTATTATATCTATAGAACTTAATGATCAATTTTTTTTCTCTTATATGAAAAGATTAGGAAAGGATGTTATTACAAAGTGGTAAAAATAATAGTTGTAATATCTTTTAAGTATAAAAGGCTATTTTAGAGCGTTACTCCAAGCGCAATTTTGTCAAGTCAAAAGTCAATAGAATACTTGGCTTTGACTGTAACAATTCATTCTTGGGCAATTGCCATCCTTACTTTTTTTATAACTATCATATAAAATTAAGAATTTGTAAATTATAAATTATGAGGTTTTTGTAACCAAAATAAGTCACTTGTCTAGCTGAAATGGGTCAGTTAATTTAGGTTCAACTATATAAGGTTTTCCATTTGGTTTATTTAGTATTATTATTTTTGGAAAATCAATTAATATGCTCGGCCTAGGCATTTTCATGGGCATATGGACCAGACTTGAACACATGTTTTTTCTCATTGATGTGACTCAACTTCAACTTGCCTGAAGATCGAGCTGCGATGGAACGAGCTGCGATGGAACGAGCTTTGGTTTATGAATATGCATGTGTATATGTGTGTTACTTGGTCTTGAAGCCCCTCTAACCTCACCTGTTCTGGCCTGTGAATTTTCTCAAATTTTTGTTCACATAACTGTACCGGTCACTGTTCACGTTGCTGTAGCCATTTCAAATTGGGGTTATCTTATCTTTATTTACATTAGCCTTCATTTTGAGAGTCAAATCTTTTTTCAAATAGGTTTTACCATCTAGGAATTTGATCAGAGCAGATATTGGAAATAAAGGATTCATATAATCGACTCTAACTAATTTGGGATTAAGACTTAATTGTTGTTGTTGTTGTATTCTAGTAGGATTTTATGTTGTCGTCCAGTACTTGTTATATTGTACTTATATTTAAAACCTTATTCTAGTTGGATTAGATGATTAAGAATAGAGCTGCAATGCTCTGTTTAAAGTTAGACTTCAGATTTTAGATTTTGAGTGATAATAAAAGAACCACTTTTATTTGTCCCTATTTTCCTGGTTGTCACCAGAAGATTCCATCTCGTTTTGCTCGAATTATGTTCCATTAATTCATTCTTTTCAATATTCTCTTGTCAAATCTACAGCCTAATTACTGTTGGGATATATTTGCTACATCACTTTGGTTATATTAAGAAAAGTGCATCAGGCGTCATCCAGTGTGACAAATTTTCCAAACAATTAGTTATGCATACAAGTGTTTGTCATGGTCGTAATTTTTGACTTCTTATAATTTTTTTTTACAGATTTTTTTCTCACTCTTGTTTGTTTCAAATTTTAATTTAACCCTGATAAAGACTTGATGCTAGATGCTATCTTTGAATAATCTTTTCCACTGCAGGAAAAATATAAAGCATTTCATGCTGGATTACCAGTAACTGTTGCTGAAACACTTCTTCGTTCAGATCCTCAGATTGAATTACCTTTGTGGCTGGTACATATGTTCAAGGTAACTTTTTGTAGCCAGCAATGCGGCATCTGACTCTTCTTTACTTTTTAGAAAGTAACATTAAGCAGATTTCAGTTTCATTATTCCCCTTCCTTTTCTTTTCTTTTCTTTTATACATAGATATTTATGGCTTGCCATAATTGATAATTTGAAATGCTCATGGTTCATTGTTTTTGCAATTCATCACATTGAGCTGCTTTGGCTGTATTTTCACGTGGCAGGATTTTCGAAGGGATAGGACCTGGGGAATGACTGGCCAAGAATCAAATCCTGCATCTTTGCTCCGACTATATGTTGATTATGGGCGATTTACGGAAGCTACTAATTTGTTGCTTGAGTATTTGGAATTATTTGCATCAGTGGTAAGTGGCAACCTTTTCCATCCCAATTTTTCCTCTAGAACAAATGCTATCCTGCTACTCCATATGTTTGTACTTCTAGGAAGTTGTGATGTGTCAAGTGGGCATTGAGTGCTGTTCTCAGTCAAGATGGGGAGCTATAATACTTTCTTTACCATTCGAATATCAAGTGTTATAGTGCTTTTATTTTGAGATAAAACTAAATGGATATTATCCTAGGTGGAACTTTTCATTTCGTGATTTCATTCTTTCTATTGACTCATGTAGTAGGAGAATGAAATATTAGTAGATGTATACAGAAAAGATATTTAGTCTTGACAGTGATGAGTACTAGATCACAAGTTTGGAGATCTGAAATTGAGTAGATAATATACCTATATTGAAGCTAGTTGTGTTTAGTCATGTAGCTAGTGTTCCTTTATCAGTAAAAGGTATACATAGTTGTGTTTCATTTGAACCATTCCTTGATTCTGTGCTAACTGACTCTCAAATGTCTCCTTCCTTCTGTATCGTGCAATGAGGCATCATTTTAAAGCTCTAAAGTTAATTACTCTAGAGCACCTATACTATTTCATCCATTTGGCAATGGTCTTGTCCATTTTTTAACATGTTGGGATGTCTTCCTGGAAATCGTGTGAAGGCTTGAGCTATCTTAGGAAGATGTTGATAGTGCTTATAATAGTTGCATAGAATCATAAAGACGATAATGTTTGATGCGCCCAATAGGCTTAAACAAAATATTTGCTTGGCCTTGGTCATTTTGGGATGGCAGTTTCAACTCACCTATAGAAAAATAGTTCTTAGAGGATGTTTGGTTTGGCTGCTTTTAACTTTTGACTTGAAATATGTTTTTTGACATATAAATCAATTTAACAAATAAGTAGTTTATTAAAAGTTATTTTTAATTGGTTCAAGTGTTTGGTTAAAGATACTTAAAAAGTAATTTAATTTATCACGATTACCAAAAAGAGTACATTAATTAGATAGAACGATCAAGGGTTTGTTAAAAACTAGGGTAGTGTTGGCGTTTCAAAACTTAACATATGGTCTTTTATTTGGTCAAAGAAGATTCTATAACTGAGGATGTTTGTTTGTATTGTGTGTATACCAGTCACCTCTTTACCCTATTTGCCTCCCTAAAGTAGCCAATTTTTACGTTATTTGAAAGTGCCTATTATTGTACCCTGTTGGTTTACTTGTGAATGAGAACTTCCAATCTTCTGCAGAGACCATCTGATCTGGTACATCGGAAAAGGCCATTTGCAGCATGGTTCCCCTACACAACAATGGAGCGTCTATGGTGCCAACTCGATGAGTTGATCAATTTAGGCCATATGGTCGATCAATGTGAGAAGCTTAAAAAGCTATTGCATGGAGCTTTGCTGAACCATCTGAAGCTGGTGAGTGCTTTTCCATGTAGATAATTTTAGTTCATTAGAGTTGCCTACAGCTAGAATTTCGGAAAATATGTTGAGTAGAAGTACAATCTACCTCAAATGTTGCTTCATTCACCATAAATAAATCCAAACATAACAAATTTATAATATTCCTAAATGTCCTTGTAATATAAGAATTAAAATTTTTGGTTATTAAGACTCCATTTGTTTCTAACTTGTTTGGAAAATATTTTCCATATTTTCCAATGTTTGGGTGCTGAGGAAAACCAATCAACAGAAAAATTTACCTGGTTAAAGGAAAACTAAGCTATTTTTAAGAAAAATGACTTTGCATTTTTAAGAGAAAAAAAATATTTTCTGGACGTTGATAAACTTATCATGACCTTATGAATACACATTTTTGTAGCTATCATTATTGTTCATCCGTCAACATCGGCCACCATCATCGGTCCTCACAATTTATCGATTTTATGCATTTTTTCTCATATTTAATAATAAATTTTAATACATGAAATTTTTATAATTATAAAGATTTTTATGGTCTTATAAATTAAATTTTAATATTTTTAATTAATTTTTAATATTTTAACCAGATAGCGGAAAATAAATTATTTGAGAAATATTTTTAGATAAGTTATTTTTTGGAAACAGACAAAGCCTAAATGAAATTTGCAATTAACATTGAAAAGTTCTATTGCTTGAATGTGTACAGCTTATCTCAATACGCTAGTTTCTTATGTAAGTTATATTTCTCGATGTTGTTACCTAAATTGGCTACATACTAATCTATTTTGTCTAATCTAAATTTTTTTTTTTTGGTATTATTTTTTGTCTAATATTATCTACTTTGTTACTTGGTGATATTCTTACTGCAGTAAATTTTATATTAATGCGAAGTTGGTTTTGAATATTTGATATTTTAATTGGATAACAGATTATAATTTATAAATATACAAACACCATTTTTTTGCTTCATTTGTAACTAAGGGCAAATCTCAAGGACTATTGACAGCTTCTCTGGGTAAAATTTTTTTTTGCATTGATTTTTGTGAACCAAACTTCCATCTTTCTTTTGTGTTATTCTCAGCTAAAGGTGGACTCCGATGATGCGATATCTTCTGCTGCCTGTTAACAAATGTGTTGCAATCTCCAAAAGTTAATGGAGAAGCAAAAGACGAATTGGGATCCTTTGACGACTGACTCGTCTTGGTCAGTGCAAAGCTTAGCTTCAGTATGCTTTCTTTGCATGGCATTTTTAACCAGAGCAGCATTGGAGCGGCAATTCCAAAAAATGAAATACTCGTACATACTGCATGTAGTTGAGCCTCGTTGAGGAACCATTGAAAAAGCAATAGAAGTAGAGGAACACTTATCAATCAAAGGAAAGAAGAAAATTCACCGTCTCTGTATTCTGTAATGTTTATGCCAGAAGCTGCTATTGATTTGCTTGCTTAAAACTCTAGCATTCGAAACATTGGCCGGGAATAGGGAAGGGGTAGTTTCTAGTGACGACTGTATAGACAGTTAGGCATTGTATTTGAGTCTTCAAAATGTTGAAAGCAGCTGTGAAGAGACTTAAATTTTCTCTTACCCTCAGGCTCCACTTTTTGTATATTGCGTTAGGAAGCTCGTGTGCTCGTATTCATATGTTTAACTGAAGTAGATGTATATCTTAATTTCATATTACTCGAGGTTAGTTGCATGAAGGAACCAACCTTTCTGGATCATAATTTCTATTTGGTTTTTTTGTTCATTCAGATTATAAAATCTTGAGGTTCCTTGCTTGTATTGAAGTTTAATTTTCTTTTTGGCTTCAATTAATTTGAGCTCTAGATGCTTGTAGAATGAAGAAATAGTGCATTGTTTCGGACTGAAACTTGGGAGGCAGTGTTTCTAGTTTCGGTCAGTAAAAGTGTGAGGATCTGAATTGGTTCAAAATTGCTGGTCGGATACTTGGATTGGTGGTTCTCGTCAGTTCGGTCCCAAATTGGAAAAAAATAAAGTAGAAGGTGGGAAAAGCCAGACTGAATTAGTATTTCTTTTTTGACTCAAGCTTGGAATTGCAGACTAAACCGAAATCAAAATTGGAATCATAAGACTAGTTGGGGTCTTGATTCAATGTTTTTAGACAATATTCAATCAAATGTTGTTGGTTTATTGGATTGGAATGCGGTTTTAATAAACTGTTGGGTCAATGAACCAGCTAACCTCAACAAGGTTGAAAGCTCAAAATACATACCTAGTTGATGTTTCGAACCAAGAAAACTTACCCAATCAACTCTTTTCGGTTTATTCACCTTCGGTTTTTTTCAGTAGGGTTTCACTTATACCTTGCAATATTACTCGCGTTTAAATAATCAATTGGAACCCATCTGTGAAGCTTTATTGTAATTTAATGCTCTCATAAAACCTAAAATGGTGCTTTAGACGGCAGCCTAAAATAAATCCTGTTGACTAGAATTGTTCTCTTCTTGTTAGAAGCTGATGGGTTTGTCCATTTTCTATTGTTACTACGTTTTATTTCTTTTTTTATTCTTGGAACTAAAAACAAGAAAATCTCAGTTGAGCTGAAACTAAGAAATTGTATGATTACATAAAGACAAATGTGCAAAACAAAAGGGTACTTGATTATTTAATGTTGTTCCACCATGTTTCTTTGTGGTCAACTTAGAATTGCTGTCTTAAAATAATAATAATAATAATAATAATAATAATAATAATAATTTAGAAGCAAACAATTAATTAACTAAAGATGCCATAAAAATACTTGTTTTGTTTGTTAACCAAAATAGAAAATTTTAATTGAAAAAAATATATGTATTTTTCCAACAAATATACCAGCCGGCTGCCAGTCCTCACTATATGTATATATATATATATAAATTTCACTATCCTAAACTAAAAAATTGCTACCTTACCCAACCAACTTGGCCTTACTCACTATGTATATAATTCTATATATATCCACCAAATATAACACACAAACTAAAAAATCTCTTCAACAAATAGGCCATCTCTCAAGCCTCAAATCCACTAATGGCCACAGAAAATTCTACTTTTCTTATAATCTTCCTCTTCGTTTTAATTGTGTGGCAAGCACCATCTTTAGAAGCCAGAAGTAAGTTCATGAGCAAGGAGATGATGAAAGGAGAGGAACTGTTACCTTTTAATTTGAAGAGCAACCCTAAATTACCTTCTTCTCTTAGTGATTATAAAGGCCATAAATTTGTAATGGTCATTAATGGAAATCTTTACTCTCATCAAATGGATAGAGTTTTAGAGTCTGTGCCTAGTCCTGGAGTTGGCCATTGAATTTAGATTTTGTTCTTCAATGCAAAATTATCATTTCTACTATTGGATTCATTAATTTAGGGGAACTAGGTAGTGGGTATACATTATAATTTGTTTTGACACACACATATATATAAATGAGAAGATTTGTTTTGATATATATTGTAAATTCTTTAACTTTCTGCATTGCAAGGAAAAATACAAGTTACTGAAAATTTTATCTAAGAGTATATGCACACAATATGCTTTATCATCAATGTTGACAATTTTTTTCTATATTATTATCTATTTTTTTATTATTATTCTGTTCCAAATTTAGTGTTTTATTTGCTTTTAATCTGAAAATTAAGAAAAATAATATGAAACAGAGTTATTTCATCCGTTCCATTAAAACAAGTTTACTTTTCTTTTCTTTTTTTTTTTTTTTTTAAATCTCTTCAATGCAAAATATATCATTACCTCTACTATGGATTCATTAATTTAGGGGAACTAGGTAGTGGCGTATACCATTATAAGTTTAGATATATATACACACACATATATATAAATTGAGAAGATTGTTTGATAGTATATTGTAAATTCTTTATACTTTTCTGCATTGCAAGAAAAATACAAGTTACTGAAAATTTTATCTAAAGAGTATATGCACCACAATTGCTTTATCATCAATGTTTGGACAAAGTCTTTCTATATATTATCTATTGTTTTATTTGATTATCTCGTTCCCAAATTTAGTGTTCTTATTTGCGTATTAATCTGAAAATAAGAAAAATAATATGAAACAGAGTGTACGATCCCCATTAAAACAATTTACTTTTTCTTTTCTTTTTTTTTTTTTTTTTAAATATCTTATAGAATGGTGTATAATTTTCTTTTCTTTATTTGGACTGAATTGTAGAGTCTTTTTCTATATTCTTTTATTGGAGAAAAGCTATAAGGATATATCAGAAGAAGTAAAGTCAACAAAAATTATAATTTGACCTATTAAATATATTTTCTTAATTTATCTAAAAGTCAAACTAAACCAATTTTTATGAGACTGACTGAGTATTTTTTTTTATTACTTTAGAAATTTTATTATGAACAATTGTTTTAATGGAAAGGTGCATATAGCTTAATGAGCTTTTCTTAAGGGTATTATTATTAAAACCATGTTTTGATTTATTAACTTTCAATTGAAAATGAGAAATGATTAATTTTTTCCTTAAAAAAAAAAGGAAAAAAGAATATTTTTAGAAACATGCCAAGACAGTATTTTTTTTTTATTATTAATTTTGTGTATATATATATATTGTAACAGATGGGCTCTCCCTCCGCGGCATAATGGAGCAAGCTTTTCTCTTATCTGCAATATTTTATGTCATTTCAAAATTAAAAAATTAGCAATTTCCACTAAAAAAAAAAAAAGAGATTAGAGTAGCAATTTTCAACCGGCACTTTGGGGAAATTAATTTAATTGTCTTGTGAATGGAATTTCATTTCGAATTTGGAATTTAGAGCGATTATTAGAAGAGTTTTATTTGAATATCATTTCAGTGTGAGGATGAAGACACTTGTATAAATAAAAAAAAATTATTTAAGTGGCAATGATTTGATGTATTTAGAATTTTTTGCTCTTTTTTTATTACTTTAATTATTTTAGGTAATAAGATGATATTCATATATTAATAATAGAAAAATTTTATTTATAGGTTATGACTTAATTGGCAATGCAGGTTGAATATGCGAGAAAAAATTCTCAAGTTCAATCCCAATTAAATACATATAAAATAAAAAAAAATAACTTTAACGTAAAAAAATATATTTTAGTTTTATCACCCATAATAAAGTAAAATTATATTTTAACCTCTAACTATTTGGACGACTTCGACACAGCAAATTATTTTTTGACCTCTAACTATTTGGGCTAGTTCGCTCTGCGGACAGTAATAAAATGTTGCCTAGTTGATTTTGTATGTTGAGAGTTGGAATGTCACTAAGTTGACTTTTTCCATACAGAGAATTATTAAAATGGAATATTATCCACTAAGCAATCTATTAGTATTGGACAAGCATAAATTAACGGAAAGTGTACACAGTGTTGGGATCTATAGACCTAAAGTTTGAATTACAACAATCACTTTTCATTAGGCTGGTAGTCTAATAATAAAATATATGGTAGGTCAAGATGCAGTAATTTAGGATTTTGTAATTACTGTGCTTCCTTCTCGTTATTTGAGATTTCACATTATTAAAATATTCTTGCAATTCTTAAAACTTAACGTGATTGAAAAAATTTTATAAAATGTAATCGCCACTCTTTTTTATGTTTATTTATAAATATGTAACGTAATTAGCATATCACCACCATCATACACTACTATCACTATCATCGCTCCACCCTTACCACCACCACAGCTATTATTCTACTACTATCATCACCAGCACAATCACTACTCCGTCACCACCAATACCACCACATTATAATTAACAAAAAAAAATTTTGAATCAAAAGTTATTTATTATATCAAGCTATTAAAGATTATTTAGACTTATAAACTATTTGAACAAGAAAATTAAAAAAATACAAAAAAAAAAATATAATATAACAAAATAAAAGTTAAAGTTATTGAAAATTATTTTTTTTAACAATATAAAATTATGATATTTTGATCCTTTTAGTGATTTTTCATTCCATTCTTTCTATTCCTATGACAGTACAAAAAAAAAAAAAATGTAATAATGATGTTGTGGTGATGAAGTGGTGATTGAGGTGGTGGTGGCGGTGATGTAGTGGTGGCAGTGGTTGCAATTGTGATGGTAGTGGAGTGGTGGTGGTTGCGGTTGTGGTAATAGTGGAATGGTGGTGGTGGTGGTTATAATAATGGTGGTAGTGGAGTGATGGTAGTGGTTGCAGCGACGGTGGAGTGGTGGCCCGATGACAGGTTGTTGCTAGAGATGATGTGCTGTTGGTAGAAATTTGCATGTAAGTTATGTTGGCTGAGATATACATTCCGAATTAATGGTAACAGAGGCATGTAGGTGATGCGGGCTATGGATGGCAGTATCCGATAGTTGGCGTCATGTCGCCCCGAGTAGTACGCCCCTTCGGGCACAATTGTAAGGGGTGGTATCAAGCAGCGAAATGGACACTGAAATGCGAGCTATCAACAAATCTCAATGGGAATGCATAGCATGCCTAGAGTAAAGAGGCAGTATGCGTAGCAGATGAGAACAATAGAGAATCCGTTATGGATAGACCTATATGCAACATTTAGGCATGGATCCGAACAGTAACATGCACATAAGAAGTGAGATGGCATGGTTAAAACGAGCATTGTCGGCTAAGAGTGGCCCGAGCAGAGTTGATTGATTTTGATAAAAAGATAATGGCAAGAGGCACCATTCGAGCTAAAACATAATGGATGGATGCTTAGTGACCGCACAGTTGTACAGAAAATAAGAGATATTAAGCCGGTTGAATTGAGAATACATAGTGATCCCGAAGCAAGGGGATGCATGTGC